CAGTAATGTCCCCCTTGACCGCCGAGGCAGGGACATGGCTGCCCAGATAAAAGGCAGAGGGGCGGCTGCTGCCTGAGATGACCAGCCACTGCACCACCCTGAGTCACGCCAGTTGTGGCTCTTTACCCCTGCGTCCCGTTCACAAAGCAACACAAGCCGAATCCTGCAGAAGTAGCACATGAACGTGGGCCCTTGTCTAAAGGTTCCGGGTCCCAGGTCCCCAAAGCGAAAGACAGTGGTGCCTGTTCTCATCGGTTGTGTGTGTTCAATTAAAAATCTGTCACCCAAGATGGACGGGAAGATCTATGCACAAGGATGTCCACCACAGAGCTATCCACCATTGTGAAAAGTTAGCAACAAGGGGCTGCACAAATGAGTTACATGCAAGAGATTACTTTATAGTATAAAAATGACGTTTTCATGTGAAAAATCATTTAAGCTACGTGTTTATGGTGTGTGCACTCGTGTGTGCGTATTATACTTCAATAAAAAGTTTATCTAAAAATTACCTTTTAAAGAATACTTGATGATGTGGTTAAATGCTAACAATATATTGTTAAGTAAGAGAGAATTGCATATACAGCATGAGCCAAATTTTAAATATATATATAAAATTTTGAAATAAATATATAAATGCATGTGTGTGTGTATCATTGAAAGAAAATCACAAAAATATTAAGAGAGATTATCTGTAGATAGTGAGATTATGTGCAAGTTTTCTTATGTTGACTATACTCCGTCGCATAATAATTCAAATTTTCTACATAGAACATTATCACTTAGAGTGACAGATTAGATAGATCCTGGATAGATGGATAGATAGATAGATAGATAGATGATAGGTTGGTAGGTAGATAGATAGATGGATGATAGATTGGTAGTAGTAGGTAGACAGATAGATGGATAGATGGATGATAGATTGGTAGGTAGGTAGGTAGATAGATGACAGCAATGCCACAGAGGCGTAGTTCCTCTCAGCTCTTTCATTTGATGTGTAGACTCTTATGGACAGTTGAGAATGTTAAAGGATTCCATGTAGGTGCCAATTCTTTGAAAAACATTTCTGTTTCCATGGAAACAACCTAAGGCTCTGCCAAGGGATGAATGGATAAAAAGTTGTGGTATATATATAAAATGGAATATTATTCAGCCATAAAAAGAAGGAAATCCTGCCATTTGTGACATGAAGGGACCTTGAGGGCATTATGCTAAGTGAAACAAGTCAGACAGAGAAAGACAAATACTATATGATTTCACATATATGTGGAATCTAAAAAAAAAAGCCAAACTCATAGAAAAAGAGATCAGATTTGTAGTTACCAGAGGAGGAGGGTGGGGGGTGGGGGAATTGGATGAAGGTGGTCAAAAGGTACAAACTTCAAGTTATAAGATAAGTCAGTCCTGGGGATGTGATGCACAACGTGGTGACTGTAGCTACACTGCTGTATGGGATATTGGAAAGTCGCTAAGCGAGTAAATCCTAAAGGTTCTCATCACAAGGAAAAGAACATTTCTTTCTCTTTTTTTTGGAACCTATATGAGATGATGGATGTTAATGAAACACTGTGGTAATCACTTTGCAATATATGTCAGTCAAGTCATGCTGAGCACCTTAAACTCACATAGTGCTGTATGCCAACTATATCTCAATAAAACTGAAAGATAAAACATCTGTGATTTGGTTTCCTCTCCAGCTCTTCAAGAAGATCTCCAGAGCTGAGGAGGAGGAGAAAGGCACTCAGAAGAGTCGATTCTGCCATCCCAAACCTCCACTTGCCCGTGGCCTGTGGGCACGTGTCGGCTCACACTTGACACGTCCCTCTTCCTCTGGACAAGGCAGCGTGGGTCCCCAGGTGCACACCATGCTGACGGTAATCTAAGCGGCAGCCCTTCCCCCATAGGGCACAGAGACCCTGCTGTTTGCTGGTTGGGATATAACAGCACTGCAGGGGGTGGCGCTGGTTCCACAGAGGCCGGGAGCCTGGCTCTCCAGCAACAAAAACCACCAATGGGAAGAAATGCTCAGAAACCAGCTCAGTCACCATGGAGGGCAGTTCAGACTCAATCAAGATGCATTTGATCCCAGCCAGGATGAGTGCTCTACAAAGAAAATACATTCAGAATACTTGGACACAATTACAAAACTGAAAAGCTTCCTATAAAGCAATCCGGGATAAAAATCTTATCTAGAGGGCCAGCCCCGTGGCCAAGTGGTTAAGTTTGCACGCTCCGCTTCGGCAGCCCAGGGTTTCACTGGTTCGGATCCTGGGCACTGACATGGCACCACTTGTCAGGCCATGCTGAGGCGGCATGCCACATGCCACATGCCACAGCTAGCAGGACCCACAACTAGAATATACAACTATGTTCTGAGGGGATTTGGGGAGAAAAAGCAGGGGAAAAAAAAGAAAAGAAGGTTGGCAACAGTTGTTAGTTCAGGTGCCAATCATAAAAAAACATCTTATCCAGAAACCCTGAGACTGAACTCCCAGAGAACCGCCAAGCAGCCACGCTGCCTGCAAGCAGGGCTCAGGGGCCAGAGGAAACAGAGGAGAAAAGCAGCTGAACGAGAACCCAGGATCTCCCGGGAACTGTTTGAAACATGTTATCTGAATGACAAGAAAGATGACCAAGAGAGAATGCTGGAGAGAAAAGGGGGAGAATACAGAAAAAGACCATTTCTAAACAGAAAAATATCATGCAGATAATGTCAGTTTTTAGGACGAGTTCACAGAGCAGCACGACTGGTCTGCTGTGAGATAAACAGCAGTTTGATTACCTAGGAGACGGGAAAAGTTAAGCAACAGCCCCAGTGCTTATAGCCTCAGGGACAAACCCTCGCCCTCTGCTGGGGGTGCTGGGACTGGATTCCTACAGCCTTCTGGGGAAGACTTCTGCAATAGCAAGTTTCAAAATACACGCCCTCAGTGACCCAGTGACCTCGCCCTCGTGCTGACCCCACAAGAGAAAGGGCCACACCCTGCGGGCCTGTGCACACATGCTCCTTGGCTTGCCTCGTGTGCTCCTTTCCCGGCACCGACTGAGGCAGCAAGACACAACCGGAACATCCAGCAAATAGAAAGATAAAACTCTTTAAGAGAGACCTGGTCAAACTGTCAGACGCATTTTCTGGAATAGTAAGCAGCAACCGACAAAAATGACTCCAATCCCTCTCTGTGGCCTCAGCGGGATAACCAATGCGCTGGGGCTTTGGCAGGGAGCTTGTTTGCTTTGCAACGCTTTATTTTCTACTTCATTTCTATTTCCTATGTCTGTTTTTTAACACAAATATTTCTGAGGTAGCACCGCCTTAAATTAAATTTAAAATGGCATAACACAATGGTCAAAGAAAAAAATATATTGTTTTTTTGTTTTAGGGGTTTTTTGCATGGGACCGTCCCTGGAGTGGACGTGAGTGTGGAGAGGGGGCGGGGCCCTGGAATGCTCACTCGTAGCCTGGGCTCAGTCTTAGCTGCACAGGTGCTCGCTTTGTTTTTATTCTTTATACGGTCCATGTGGTTTAGATGCTCTTCAGTGTGTGAGTAAAATTTCATAATAAATTAATTTTAACATTGTGTATGAACTCAGTTTCCCAAATCGTGAAATATAAGTCATAATTCAGTTTGTTCTGGTACAGTGTAAAAAATGGCAAAATGTTCATCAAAATAGAGAAAAAAAAAAACAGTATGCGTCACACAGTGGACAAACTACCAAGTGTTTGGGCTCCTCCTCTCACCTGTGACCCCTCCACCCACTTCACCCTGCTCCGCCCCTCACCTCTGGCACACACTAATCTGTTCTCTGAATCAGTGAGCTCAGGTTTTTTTAATTCCACATATAAAAGAGATCATACAGTATTTGTCTTTCTCTGTCTGTCTTTCTCAGTCTTATTTCACTTAGCATAATGCCCTTGAGGTCCATCCATGTTATCACAAATGGCAAGATTTCATCCTTTTTTATGGTTGAATAATATTCCTCTGTGTGTGTGTGTGTGTGTGTGTGTGTGTGTGTGTGTGTGTGAGGAACATTGCTGCTGAGCTAACATCTGTGCCAGTCTTCCTCTGTTTCATGTGAGATGCCGCCACAGTGTGGCTTGACAAGCGGTGCTAGGTCTGCACCCGGGATCCGAACCTGTGAACCCCAGGACGCCAAAGTGGAGTGCCTGAACTTAACCACTACACCACCAGGCCAAGAGATGGGACACAGCCCTGGCAGGCTGAGGAGTCCCCACCCTGCAGACCTCCGCCCCTTACACTGGTGCTCCCAGGGAGCACGACGAGGGGTGTGAAGTGAGGAGGAGAGGCCAGGTAAGGTGCTGGCTGGTGGCCCTCCTGGCCAGGCCCCTGGCTCCCTCTGCTAGGGCTCTGGGACTGGAGAAGGTGCCCCTTGGAGAGGTGTTCACCCACCAGCCCCCACCCCTCCTGGGTGGGGCTTTTGCCCCCTCAACCCTTCCTGTCCTGTGAGCAGAGATGCAAAGACCTTTGGGTGTGTGGCAGAATGTGGGCAGGTGGCCACCGGAGGGCCCACACGCTGACAAGATCTGCTACCCCTATGACAGCTGGCTTCCTGCTCCCACCCCCTGAGGCCAGGCAGCTACAGATCCCAGCCTACCGAACCAATGGAAGTCAGCAGCTCCATATCCACCTGTGGTCCTGAAGACGACCCCCACAAGAGTCCTGACCTCGCTTTCAAATGGAGGGAAAGGGGGCCCAGGCAGGGGTGACACACCCACACTCCACAGCTTCCAAGCAATGGTCAAGACCTGAACTCGAGTCCCAGACCCCACATCCGTGCCCTCGAAGCCCCAGAGAAGAGCAGCCCTCCATTATCATCTCTGATGGAGAGGAATTGCCCTTGAGCCAGAGCCGATAAAGTGACTTAATCCTCTCCACTTCCGCACAAAGCACTTGTCTTCATTACGGCTGTCGGAATCTCCAAGTAAATTAGTCACCGGGGAAGGCTGTGGGCCACGGAAAGTAATAAAACATACTGACACTGGCAAGAGTTAATTAAAGCTTTTACAAGAGTTTGAGCCAAACCCCAAGGCATGGAGAAACTAATGAAATTCACACTCATCCCCAGCCTGGTCAGCTACATAGGTACTAATAAGCCATTGACAATTAGTGCAAGTTTACTCTTTCTTTAATGACAATTGGAAACGTGGAGTATGAAAGACAGCGTTCCCCAGTCTACAGAAAGAGACAAGGGCCTTCTTGGACAGACATGTTTGCTTTTTGTCCACAACATTTTAGCTTTGGGTGGTGAGAAAATAAACTGGGCAAAGAAAGGTTATTGTGTGTGATAGTTCATCCACGTCTAATAATGACACCTCCCTCTGGGGCCTTGGCCAGGATCCCAAGTCCTGAGGGTCAGCAGAGCCAGTGGACACTCAGGTAGAGAGGAAAGCCACAAGAAAGCCACAAGGAAGCCGGGAGGACGACTTGAGCCGGCCCCTGAGGAGACAGGCAGCCTGCCAAACACCACATACAGAGGAGAACAAGTCGCCACAGGGAAAACCCTGCCCCCACGGCCAGCGGCCAGGCGTCAGGGCCACCTAGGAGAGGGCAGGGTGGCCTCCCTCAGGGTGAAGGCTGGCATCCTCAGGCCAGAAGCACGCTTCCAGACCTGTTCCAAAAGGACGCCCAAGACCCCGGCTGCCAGCGTAGACCTTCCACTTACTCAAGGGGTGGCCGTGCCTCCCAGTCGCTGTGTGAGCTTGGGCCAGCGATTCTCCTGGGGTCCTGGACACACAGCAGCAGTCTCAGCTGGGAGCTTGTCGGAAATGCCCGTTCGCGGACCCGCCAGAGGCCTCCTGATGGGGAAGTCCTGCAGCAGGCCCGGCCCAGGCGCCAACAGCCCCAGCGCCTCTGACTCGCAGTTCCCTTCCAGGCCCTTCTTTTGAGAGGTCACACCTGGGAGAGACTGTCATTGGAGCCCTGGCACAGAAGGGGGCTTGGTGACAGCCAGAGCAGATGGAATGAAGAAGTGTAACAGTACTGAGTTTCCCGTCTCCAGGAGAGTTTAAATAGAGGTCAAGCAGTCACTGGGCAGGGTGGGATCCCCAGGATTCAGCATCAACTCAAGGGCAGTGAATTTGTAATGGGCAAAACCAAAAAGACACATTGATGGATGGAAAAAGCAAAAGTTGAAAAAGTTAACTGTGGAATCTGGGAGGTGGGCATATGAGTATCCACTGAACAATTCATTCAACTTCTCTGGAAAAGTTTGTAAAATTTTATAATAAAATGTTGTGAGAAGAAATCAAGTGAAGAACTGAGTTTGACAACCATCCTGGGATCCTGCATCCGTGGTTCTCTGGCACCCACACCTGCCTCATACACAATGTGCACATCCAGCCCACCCTGCGTTGGCCAATCCCAGAGGTGCCCAGGGGAACTCCTCGGCAGGCTCAGCTGCAGGAGCAGAGAAGGTCACTAAGGATGGGGCAAAAGCAAGGGAAGCACGGAACCCAGGCCTCGACTCACCCACACCAGGGGCTTCCTCCAGAGGGAGCACCTCAGGGTCCTAGAACTACAATCCGGAAATTTTATACAAGGGCTACAGAAACTAAGGAGGAAGGAAAGCCAGTGAAATAGGTTATCCTCCGTTCCGTGTCAGCATCAAGCCAAATGAATGACACCCGAGACTTACAGACGCCAAGAGAAGATCCACCCAGGGCACTTAATTAACAAGGTGATAAGTGGGTCCTCAGAGCAGAATGGGGATTGAGGCGGGAGTGCCATCTCCAACCATTTAAATCAGCAACGATTCTGTGAAAAACGAGAGGGGAACCTGTGGACAAAGGCGAATCAGGGCAGGTATGCCAGGTGGGCGGTCTGCCCGAGAAGCATATGGACTCAGCTGTGCCCAAGGGTCTACCAGGAGCTTTTAAAGTGCTCATTCCCAGCTCCACCCCCAGATCCACAGAACGGGGTTCACTAAGGGACAGATGGTCTGCATTTTTACCAAGCTTGCGGGGCTATTCGGACAAGCGGCCACACTAAGAACCAAGAACCCCACCCTGGAAGCTCCCCGGGCTGGAGGCAGGCGCCCTGGGCCCCGCAGCCCAGCACCTCGGTGCTGAGGAGGGACGCTGCAGGCGCCACCACCAACCCGCGGGGGCAGCCCTCAGCTCAGGACCCAGCAGCCTCCTCCCCCTCCAGGGGACCAGCTCTGAGACTCCCCGGGGCCCTGCAGGACCCTACTCATTAGTCCACCGTGCAGGCTGCCTGCCTGCCCCACTCCCCCACCCACGTCCCCTGGTGTGCAGATAAACAAAGGCTGTCCAGATGAGATCAAGAAAAGTCACTTACTCAGAGCTTCCGGCAGCCTGGGAGTCAGCCAGCATCACCTGCATGTGGCAGGCCAGGGGTGGGAAAGCTTTATGATGGAAAAAGGGAGGATCAGGGTGCCTGAGAGCACCGGATGCGGGCAACTAGAGTGGGGCGTCTCCTGTGACAGGTCAGGGGGCACAGTTGGCTTTCTCTTCTGGTTGATGCTAAGTTGGACGCGGGGACAAAAATTAGGGAAGCTGGCAGTTATTGACCAAGCCTGGCCATCGGGCCAGTTGCTGCAGAGGCTGAGGTCTGGCTCTCTGGCTGGTGCTGCAGCCTGCGGTCAGGGTTCTGTCGTCATGCCTGGTCTGGCCATTGTCTGTCAGTGTATGTGTCTCGCACTGGCACCCTCCCACACATGCTAGGCACACTCCAACCTTTGTCTCAGGGTCTGCTCTTGGGGACTTAGTACAAGGTCAGCCCGAGGGATGATTATGGTTACGGGGCCTCCAAATCAGCTGAGCCATGGGGCCACCCCCAGAGGCCTCACCAGCTCTCTGCCCACCTGGCAAGGCTGCAGGGCGGGCCCATCTCAGGCCAGCCGAGAGCTCAGAAGCAGGAGAAGGAGGTCTTCCTCTCCCTGATACACCCTGTGGCCAACACAGTAATGGCCCCCAGAGATGTCCACATCCTAACCCTGAAACCTGTGAATACGGCACTTTATAGGGCAAAAGGGACTTTGCAGATGTGCTTAAGGACCTTGAAGTGGGGGGATTACCTTGGACCACCCAGGGGGGACCTACCATAATCACATGAATCCTTAGGAGCAGAGAATCTGGCTTCGGACAGAAAGACGTGAAGGGGAAGACGGGTCAGAGAGACGCCTCTGCTCGGTGGTCAGCAGCCCCCATGTCCCCATCCTGGGACTGCACCAGGCTCTGGGCAGCCAGCCATCCTGCCCTGTGCCTTCTCCTCCTTGTCCTCGGGTCCAAGCCTCTTCGAGGAATTGCCCAGAGTCCCAACTCCAAGCCCCTGGAGGAAAGGTTACCCTCAACAGCCCTTGGATATAAAACCCAACTGAGGAGTCTGTAGCGCACGGTGGAATCTCAGCAGGGCAGGGGGAGGACGATGTAGGGTGGACACAGACTAAATCTACACCTGGGCCTCCGTTCTCGCGACGCCAGTGCACAGGTCACACGGCTGCTGCTGCTCTGCAGGGGGACCTTAAACAGCCCCTGGACGTGTGTCTCGCTGATGACTGCGGAACAAACTTCTCTCTCAACAGCATACTTGTTACCCTCGAGCAAAACTTTCTCAGGTCAGGCAGCTCCAAGAATGACCCAAAGATCCAGGACCACATGACGAGGCCCAGAGTGGCCTCCTCTGCCCCCAGCTGCAGCCACATGGAAGCAGCACAAATGCCCTAACAAGGAGCACCTGCATGCCATGCCTTTGTTCACACTGTTCCCTCTGCTGTTGCCCCTCTCCTTTCCTTCCAAGAAAACTCTTACATAGTCATCAGAACCCAACTTAAATATCCCTTCTGTGGAGACTGTGCATCACACTGTTGTGGTGAGTTCCCCAGGAGTGAATGAGATGGCACCAGGTAAGCAGGAGCCAGGCAGGGAATCAGGGCAGCTGGAACTCTGGAGTGGCCATGGGCCTGCAGAGGTGTCCTGCCATGAGCTGAGGGGCTTCAGGCTGCCCTTGGAAAAGGGCATGGCCTTGGGCCAGGCAGATCCCTTCAGCCAAGGGCAACCCTCCCAGCTGCGGAGGGAATGACCCCCTTGGTTCTGCGGTGGGGCCTGCGATGCCCACCAGGCAGCACAGGCAGAGTGAGCAATGCCACCCTCAGCTCTTGCTGGACGGCACTGGCCAGCTGAGCGATGCCCATCTCTCCTCTAGGTGAGCTCCTGGGGTTCAGGCCTGGGCCTCAGTCACCCGGTCACTCCGTCAGGGCAGGCACAGACCACTCTGTAGGCAGAGCTCTGGTCTCCGGACACCCACCCAGGTCTGAGTGACAGGCTGCTGTCCCCCTCAGAATAACTTAAGGTTAACCCTCATAAGTAGCAGCGCTCAGAGTCACTGCTGGGATGACGCAGCGGAAGCCTGAGCAACCCAGCAGGGGTCCAGCCTCCCGGAGCCACCGGGCTGGTGCAGAGGCTGGGGCCCACACAGGAGAGCGTCTATCAGGGCTTCTGAGGACACGTCTTACTGCAAAACGCAAGGCGAGAGGACTAGAGGATGCTCGTCCCTTCCTGTCGGTCCCGGGTTCTGTTCCTGCTCTGGTGACCAAACCAGAACCCAGGGGCTGGCCAGTGTGGTCAGGTGACCAGGCTGACCCACAGGCCCTGAGCTCCAAAGTCCTGGGCTGAGAGCTCCCCATTCCACAAGCAAGAATCACGTGTAAAGAACTGGCAACTCCGTCCTTCTGCAAAGTCCACCAGGCGATGGAAAGAGAGGGCCGCCAGTGTAGCAAAGAAACATGCAGAAGGCCCAGCTGAATTTGAATTTCAGATAATGCATAATTTTCGGCATAAGTACATACTATGCAATATTTAGGATATACTAAAAATGTATTTGCTGTTTCTCCCAGCTTAAAATTTAGCTGGGTGCCCTGTATTTTAACTGGCAACCGTAGGAATAGGATGTCAGAAGCCATGCCAGGCCTTTATGTCACCTCTGGGCAGATGCCACAGCACTGGCAACAAGTAAGGCAGGTTGTGTTCAGCTTCCAAGGACCAACCTGATGTGAGTCTGCTGAAAATTGGCCACGCCTGGGGCCCCTGGATCCAGCTCCGCCCCCGGATCCGGGCTTCCGTCACCTGACAATCTGGAAAGATTCTCGGTTCTCATGGCAATAGCATTATCTACTTTTCCACCTCCCTGATCTGCTGGCCACCGGCTACTGACCCAGCCACAAACCTGGTTCCCATCTGTGTCACTTGGGCGGTTTCATGCTGAGAAAAAGAAAACAATTGGGAAACCCAACTCAAACGGTCTTAAACAGAAGGGAAATCTATGGGACTCGAAACTGGAAGCTCTAGCAGTCTGTGAGCTTCCGGTGGGCTGGCCCCCGGGGTGTGTCCCGCCTGAGTCTCCACACTTCTCTTACAGCCTCCTCTTCGGCCGAGCCGTCCTCGTGTGCCAAGGCCACTGGCAGCTCTGGGGGCTGCGTGCTGCTTCATTCACCCCGACGTGAGAAAGAAGGAAGGAAGGGGGAGCAGGGTGGAGAAGCGGAAGACAGCTATTCGTCCCCCAACTACAGAGCACGGTCCTTCACTGGGCTCTGTCTGAGCTCCCGTCAGTCACCTGCCCACCTCTGAACCGACCGAGCTGACGAGCTGACATGAGACCAGCAGAACCCACTCCATGAGCTGCAGTGGTGGGAGTCCCTCTCGAACACCTCGGCTGCAGGGCCAGCATCCCTGTCCCACTGCCCTGCCCCTGGCCACATCCAGCATGACAGCAGGCAGGTGGCACCTGCACTGGATAGGAAAGTCAGCAGGCAGGGTGCCTTCCAGGGAGATTTAGACCCTAATTCTTTCTGGACCCACATGAAGCAGGTCACTTTCCAAGGACACCAAAAACAGTATGTCCCTCTCACATGCTCTTATGATGTGATAGTGACACGGTCCCATTGAGGGAGGTCTTCTTTGTTTCCTATTCTTTGAATCTGGGTAGGTCTGTGGTTATGGCAGAAGTGACACTACGCGACTTTCAAGGCTAAGTCATAACAATGATGCAGCTTCCCCTGACACTCCAGGGGAGCATCTTTCTTGGAACCAGCCCACCATGCTGTGAGGAAGCCCATGCAGCCACGTGGAGGTGTTCCGGTGACAGCCCCAGCTGAGGCCCAGCCAACAGCCAGCATCAACTCCAGACGTGGGTGTGAGCAGGCCTTGGATGATCCCAGGCCCCGGCCTTCGGATCTTCCCAGGTGACACCCCAGACTTCATGGAGACAGGCTGTCCTCACACGGTAGCTGACCCACAGAATGTGTGATCATAATAGAGTGGTTGTCAGTTTACACCACGAAGCTTTGTGGTGGCTGCTGCCCAGCACTAGGTGAGGGAACCCCACTCCTACAAGGTGCCAAGATTCTCCAGGACCAGGCCCAGCAGGGTGAGTGTGAAGGGCCCCAGGCCCTCAAGATTTGCAGGTTCTCCCCACTCCCTGAAAACTGAACCACAGAGAGCTTTGTGGTTTAGACAGACTGCATTTCCTGAGAAAGGACAAGGGACCGTGAAAGCCCCGTGACTGTTCCGGAGGCAGCGTGGGACCTGGAGCAGTCCAAGAACGGGGGAGGGCGGGAGCCAGGCGCCCCCAGAGGCGGGGAGCGGGCTCGTCTCTCGGGGCGCGGCGCCGCCGTGGGGACCGAGCCTTCCTCGCAGCCACAGCCCTGGGGAAACGTTTCCGCTGCGCTCTTCGCAGACGGACCGGACCAAACCGCGTCCTCCAGCCCGCCGCTCGGGTGACCACCACTGACTTCAAAACACGAAGGACGAGCAGGGTGTAAAGGTCTCAGAAGCCCATGTGATGCCTCTCCGGGACGACCAGCGTTTGTGTTTCTTCCATCCAGTAGGAGGTACACGCCCCTGCACACACACTCACTCCTGAGACGCACACCCCCGAGGCTCCTTCCGAGGCCGGCTCCCTCCTCCGCGAGGCTCTGTGATCCTCTGCCGCCCTCGCCCTCCCCGAGCGGGGGACACGCGCAGGCGCGGCCGGGAGGACCCAGAGGCGCCGGCTCCGGGGCGGACTGCCTCGCCCCCTCCGCCCGCCCTCCAATCAGAGTCAACTGCTTGGTGCCCAAAGTGGCAGCAGCCCTCCTAGTGGCCGCCTCCAGGAACGCCTCCTCCATGAACCCAAAACCCCAGGGCAGGCTGCTGCAGGTTATAACCACAGCTCCCTGCTGGGCTCCTGGCCTTGCCCTGTCACCTGTCTCCATGGCCCCCTACCTTGCCCACACTAGAACCCTCAAACCCTAGCCCTATATGGTGGTCGCAGACACCTCGGGCAGAAGTGGCTCCATTTTGCCATTGCAAATAAATCTGGGTGTCTGCACACTAGACCTGCTTTCTAAAGGCTCTGAGAAGTCCTGCATACCTCGTGCATATTTGTGCAAGGAAACTTTTAGGTGCACACCTGATATCCAACGGTTTGGGAAACGCTACTCCAGTCCTGAGGATGAGAACCTAACAACCTGTTGTCACTGAGCACTCTGGGCCATCTCCCAACTCATAATGCCCTCCTTCACGTCATCTCATCTAAACCCCACAAGAAGCCTAAGAGGTGAACACTGTCATGCCTCTCTTTTTCTTTCTTTCTTTCTTTCGTTTTGTAGCAGACAAGGAGACTGGAGTTTGGAGAAGCTTGGTGACCCACCCAGCGTCCCCCAGCTAGCACCAGGGACCCACCCTCACTGTCCCTCAAGAACACAGCGTTCTGCATGTCAAGGAGGCTGCAGGGCTTCCTCTGTGCGGAAACTTCTAGACACTGGCTCCTCCTTCTCAGAGCTCAGTGAGGGGCACTGGCTACAGCTCAGAGAAGGAACGCCACTGTCCTCACAGCCCTCAGCCCTGGAGGACATAGAGGGAGTATCATTGTTACAATCATTGAAGTATCACCATAAACTCACCAGTTACAAACATTTGGTGTGCTTCAATGCCCTGTGGCCATTATTCTTACTGATGCTAAATCGTCTGCTGGGGCCAGTGGGAGCCTCTTTGGGTTGGCTCCCGTGTTCTTTTGACAGCACCACAGTGGTCTTGGGTGGTCTCCTGGGTTTCTGGGAAGACGAGACATCCTGGCTCATCTTGCCCGTCTCCTGCCCTTCCCTGGACTCGGCCGCTCCTCTGGGTCAGCTGGGTCCCTTCTGCTGAGAAGTTGCGTTGAGAGGTGCTCAGGGCTGCCTGGCTGCCGTTTTTTGGAGGCGTCCTCAGTGAAGAGGTTAAGTGTGTGTGTTGACTTTTACTTAGCAAGTGTGGCTGCCAGACTCTCGGGGGGCTCCCACAATGCCCACTCCTTGTACTCGGGCCTGGTTGTCCTCTCCCCTTGAGGATGGGCCCTGTGACTTGCTTCTGAACAACAGAATATGGCCAAGGTGATGGGTGGTCACCCCTGTGATAACCTTACATGAGACTGTACCTCGTTTTTCTGGGACACTCTCTCTCTCCCTCGCTGGCTTTAAGGAAGCAAGTGGCCATGTTGGGAAGCCCCACGTGGCTAAGAACAACCCACAGGGAGCTGACAGCCCTCCATGAGCGTGTGAGCTTCAAAGTGGATCCTTGCCCAGTGGCGCCTTCAGTGGGGCCGCAGCCCCCGCAGGCATCTGGACTGCAGCCTGTGAGACCCTGAGGCAGGGAGCCCAGCTATGCCGTGCCACAGGCTGACCCGCGGCCACTGTGAGGTCAGGAGCGTGCGCTGTTGGAAGCTGCTGAGCGTGTGGCTGTTTGTTACGCAGCAGCAGAAAACTAACCCAATAACGGGGTATGCTTCGCTGATTTTCCTTTCAAATTGAAAAGAGATCCACCGTGGAGGCAACAAGTCAAGCACCCTGAGCGTAGGACCTGCCGGAGGCTCACGTGGCAATGTGCAGTGTGCAGCACCCGACTGGGTGGCCTCCAGCTGTGACCCATGAGCTGCCGGAGATGGGGTGGCAGGAAAGGGAAGGGTCAGAGGAGAGACAGGGAGACCCGGCTGCCTGTGCACCCCTCTTTCTCATCCCAGAGGAGGCAGGAGGCGCTCCCAGGAGATGCCCTGAGGAGAAGGGGTCCTGGCCCACCCTGTCACTGCTGAGGTCCAGAAGTCTGGAGCTCCTCAAATGACACGGACAGCACTTCCTGCCCACCAAGCCAGAGACAGAAGGCTCACCAGCCACGCGGGCCAGGCTTTAGAAGTCCTGACTCCAGAGGTTCCGGCAACACCAGACTCAGTGGCCTCAGAAGCAGCAGAGAGATGGCTCTGGGGCACGGCCTCGGCTTCCCCGCACCAGGCGTGCCCGGCCCGCCCCTCCTCCCGCCACATCCACCCACCCCCCTGGGGAGCAGGCTCTCAAGGAGGAGCCCTGCTGTCACCCACTTAGTGGCTGACCCGTGCTCTTCACCTGGTGGGATGACGAGTGGCCAAGCAGTGGGCGCAGCACGGAGGTCAGAAGGACACGACGCATGCCAGTGAGAAGAGAGGACAGGAGGAGTGACAAAATGGGTTCAGTCAGCGTTTGGGTTCCCAAACCTTAGAGGCCAGAGATTTTCCCGGAGAGTTTGTGAAACAGATCCCTGGGCCCCACATGTGTGTATGCGTGTGTGTCCGGGAGTCTGTCTTTGTTTCAGCCTTTATATGTGTCTGAGTGTGAACGTGTGTAGGTATGTTTATCTGGGTGTGGACGAGAGGTGCTTTCTCTCACAGAGGCTGATTCAGAACGTCTGGGGTGCGGCCCGAGAGTCGGCATTTCCATCAGGTTCCCGGGGAATGCTGACGCTGCTGGTCCAGGGGCCGCACCTGAAGCAGCAAGGGGTTGAAGGACGGACGAGTGATGTACACCACCCGGAAGCAGTCAGGCATGCCTTGGAGGGGACACAAATAGTGCACGTCACACATGTACACACAATTACACATATGCACAGAGATATGCACCTGTGCACACACATGCTTACACGCACAGAGACACATACACAAAGCCTTTCACCCTGACTCACAAAAACACATAGACACCTGTAAACATACAGACATGCAAGCACACAAACACACGAACAATACACGCTTGCACACACAGACACATACAGGCACAGACACATGTGCACAAATCTATCAGTCAGCATTCTCCAGAGAAACAGAACCAATCGAGTGTGTGTGTCCATGTGTCCGTGTATCTGTGTCTGTGTGTCCGTGTGTGTAAAGAGATACATTATAAGGAACTGGCCCCTGCAGTTATGAAGGCTAAGTCCAGACACAGGAGAGCTGACAGCACAGTTTCATTCCAAGTCCAAAGGCCCAGGAGCAGAAGAGCCAGTGATGTAAGCTCCACTCTGAAGGCAGAGAAGATGAGTGTCCCAGCAGGAAGACACTCGGGCAGAGAGAGCTCTTTCTTACTTAGCCTTTTATCCTACTCATGCCTTCAACTGATTGGATGAGGCCCACCCACATTGGAGAGAGCAATCTGCATTACTCAGTCTACCAATTGAAATGCTAATCTCGGTTCCTGTCCCATGGCCGAGTGGTTAAGTTCATGGGCTGCCAGGGTTTCACCAGTTCGAATCCTGGGCGTGGACATGGCACCGCTCGTCAGGCCATGCTGAGGCAGCGTCCCACATACCACAACTAGGAGGACCCACAACTAAAATATGCAACTATGTACTGGGGGGATTTGGGCAGAAAAAGCAGAAAAAAAAAGAAGATTGGCAACAGTTGTTAGCTCAGGCGCCAATCTTGAAAAAAAGAAATGCTAATCTCATCCAGAAACACCCTCACAGACACATCCAGAATAATCTTTAATCAAATGCCTGGGCACCCTGTGGTCCAGTTAAGTTGACATGTAAAATCAATCATCACAACATATGTACACAAACACAGAGTCACACATACTTACACGCATATGCACATAAGCACACACATACTTACCTTTCATACACACTCAGATAAACATACCTACACACATTCACACTCAGACACGTATAAAGACTGAAACAAAGACAGACTCCTAGACACACACGCATACACAGACAGACACACAGGTCTGCACATGTAACGCCACGCACACACATACACATGCACACTTCCCCTGGAGAATCCTGCCACAGTGCTGTGGAACATCAGCTCCTTCCTGTTATGGCGCCGTGTGACTTAACGGGGGCCTCCTCGTGCCGTCGCTTGCCCCCCAGGCCTGGGGGTGGCAAGGCTGCGAATAGGGATGACCATGACGCACATTCACAGATGAAAGGGCCCAGCCCCAAGGAAAATGCAGTGACTGGGGCGAGTCCCACAACCGCTCTGAGCTTCACCCAGAGCTTCTGAAAGGGAGACTGACCCACACCACCAGCAGTGAGCGGTCGTGATGGCCGGCCCCACATGGCCATGGACAGCAGGGCCATGCCCCCCGCCTCTCCCCCCGCCCAGACCCCTGCTTGGGACAAATCCCAGACGTGGCACAGCGATGAAGGCACAGAGCCTGTCAAGGAGACGCCACCCTGGAGCCCTTGTGTCACAGCCACCGACTGCCAAAGGGTGAGCATCCCAGGACCGGCAGAACATGGGGACGGTCACAAGCAGTCACTGTCTATTGAAGGCCGCCTCCACCACGCACTGCGCCCACAGCAGTCCTCGCAACGCATTTCTGAGTAGCCAGGAACCCAAGAGACAGGTCCCAGGAGTTTATGTGGCTTGTCCAGTCACACAAACCCAAACGTCCCTGCCTGAAATCCAGTACGACCCAGCATGACCCACCGAGGGCAGAGCTTCCGCTGGATGGCGTGAAAGTGCAGGTCCTGATTCAGGGAGTCTGGTCCAGCCAGCCCCGGGGACGTCCGTGCACCCACAGTCCAGATGGCCCTGGGAGCATAGCGGCTCGGCCATTTCCTTCCTCTCTCCTCTGTAACCCCAAAGCCAGGAAGGTGCATGAACCGCCCTGAAGCTGAGACCATACAGCTTCCTCTATCCCAGCCCTGAGCATTTACGTTGAGGGAGTCCCCAAATCCTCACCACAGCCCTATTAGGGGGAAACTGAGGCACAGAGAGGGTGTCCCCCACCTAAGGTCACCCAGATGTTACAAGGCAGAGCCAGATTTGAACAAACTCAGACCATCTGGCTTCAGAGCTCCTACTCCTACCCACTGGGCTGGGCACGTCCAAGAGCGCTCTGCCAGGGCCCCAGATCCCTGGGCCAGGGCCTGGCCTTTCTTCTCCTTTGCCAGCTCTGAGCCTAAGATGGGAGGGGGATCAGTCCCTTAGTCAGCAGACACCGCTCTCACTCGATTCCAGTGCAGAAGTCACCCCAAAGGGGTGTGTGGGCTGACAAGCAGATGTCCACCCTCTGAAGCTGCAGTCTGCGTCCAGTTTCCCCGCCCACTCCCCAGGTGGAGATGCCCACACATCCCAGCAGACAGTCTCCTGCCCGCGGCCTCTGGGAGCCGAATCCTGGGCCTGAGAAGCATGCTGTATGGAGAAGGAAACCCAAGTGATGCTGCTTCTGAAAATCTCTGCTAGTATTTTAGTGCAAGGTCTCTTGCATGTGTGTCTCAAGGGTGGAGCGCCGCCCAGGGTTTTGTTCATGGTCTTACTTCTCTTCCTCCTCCCCCAGCAAATAATCGCTGTTTGGAAACTTTTATAAAGGAAGCGGTTGACTTTGTGGCCCATAGATGTGGAGGCGAAGAGCTTCTGGTCAAATGATTCAGCAAGAAACCACCCCCCGCCCCCCATCCCATGCCGAGCCCCAGGGCCGCCATCCCCCGCCCTGCAGGCTCTGGGGGCCTCACGCAGCCATGTGGCCGGCTGGGGCGCTCGCCCTCTGCAGCCTGATCTTGAGCACCACGGGGGACCCATCCCGAGGTAAGAGTCTCCCCTCAGCGCCTCCCCCCAGACTTGGGGCTCCGCTGCTCCTGGGCACTGTCGCTGACCTGCCTGGCGGCGGAGGGCAGAGATCCTCTTCCTACCGTGGCTGCCTCTGCCGGAGCAGGCATCCGGGGTCTGGGGGCCGCCTGGGGACGAGGGCAACACATTCGGGCATTCTGTTTCCCGTCGCTCCCGGGGTTTGCACGGTGACCTGAGAACAGTCCCTCCCAGGGAGGCTCCCCCACGGCCCCTCGCGGGGAAGTGGCGGTTAGGCGGCTTCTATCTAACTCGTCCCTCCTGCCTGCAGGCTGCTGTCCTGAGACTTGGCTTGAGGGACCCTAAAGATCAGACCCCTTCACCCTTCCTGCCAGGCCAGCGCCGGGGGGAAGGGAAGGAAGGGAGACCTGTCTGTGTGCCAGGAAACTGAGGCACAGCAAGCTTAGGTGACTTGCCGGTGTCACACAGCCAGTGAGAGCCTGCCCCCCACACATGGCCGAATTGGCCATGGATGCTGGTGGAGACTTGGAGGGGCCCCTCACCACCTCATTCAAGCAACGAGGAATCTGGTGCCCGAGGGCTAAAGTGACCTGCTGAAGTCACAGGCCCACTGCCCAGTGAGTGAGGACAGTGCCGGAGTGGCTGGTTTCTGCCCTCCTCCCTCATGGGAAGAGGGCTGGAGCCTGGTCACAGGTGACCAGGTGGAAGGTGACCAGTGACAAGGGGACAGCTCCAGAACCTTTCAGTCCATGGAAGGGGTCACATCCCCTCTTGGTGACACTGCCCCAGTCTCCTGGACCAGCCGGGCCCTCCCCTGTCACACCTGCTCTCTGCCACTGAGCCCCACATGGAGGATCCAGAGTCCACGCTCACACGCAGAGGGCCTTGGGGCACACAGACTCCCCAGACCTAGCTGTGGACCCTGGAGCCACCATGATGAGATGGTGACATCTCATCATCCATGAAATGGGTAGATCACCGCATCCCCCTTGGGCCCTAGAGAGGCTTGACCGCAGTGGCCCACAGAAGCACCCTCTCATGGCCTGGGGTGCTTGGCAGCCTCCCGGCCACCCCTGCTCCTGAGTCTCTGCTGTGCTGGTGGCTCCTGGCTGCACGCCCCTGGCCCGTGCCACACAGATCCCTTCAGAGGCTTCCTCCGCTTGGCAGAGAGGCCTCGGGCCTCGTCTGCAGGACGGGCTCGGAGGACCCTCTGTCTAGTGGTCAGGCAGACGAAGACGCAGCCCGACTGGAATCTGCCCCTGCCATGGCTCCCACAGCCTCTCCCTCGCCTCCTGAGAACAGATTCCAGAACCTTCCCATGGGGAGGGCGTGACAGGAACCCCCCAGGGTGGCACCATGTAGGCATCTGGCTTCTCCCCACACCTAGACGCTAACCTGTGCTGACCCTCCCCAGGCAGCTTCTGCCTGAGCCCATCAGAACTTAGGAAATTGCTACATTGGTTTCCTCAGCCCTTTGCCTTCAGTTGAAAATGAAAAGCCCTTCTTTCTCAACCCGACTGTCATTTCTCCTGGGAAGCCCCACTGGCTGCCATGTCACTTTCTGCCCCCTCGCACCCCGAGCCAAACTTTCAGCGTCCCATCTTCTCATTAAGGGACCTCCTGGGCAGGGCCTGGGGTCCAGCAGCCACTACTCTTCCTTTTGCAAGGTGACACTGGACCTGGGCTGCCAGTAGCCAGAGCTAGGAGCGCCTGCCACGCCAGACCACCCGCAGCAAGGGAGGGTCCACGCCCTGCCTCCTGGGAGGGGCCCTGCAAACTGCTGCAGGCTGCGTCTGCTGTGCAGGCTGCTGACCCACCCTCTGCACTTTGAGATTTCCTTTTTCCAGCAGGGCGTCCCTGAGAGCCCCTCGCTGTAGCCGTATGGTGTATTGGACATTTGGTCATCATCACACTGCTGTTCATGCGTGTTGTCTCCTGCCTTTTCACCACTGGCCTGTGAGGTCGCCGCCGTCGTCCCCATTTTACACGTGAGCACACGCAGGCTCAGGGAGGCTGAGCGGCACAGCCTGTGGGGGGCAGAGCTGGCATGCAGACTCTGGGCCTGTCCCAGTGGGTTAAGGCCAGGACTAACCAGCCTCCTGTTTGTGCTAGGCGGACACATGTGCCCTCGAAAGGATGGGCCTAACTCATTCCTTGAGCCCCCAGAACACAGCTGGGTGGGTGTGGCCCCATAGAATTAATGGCAACGACCAACTCACTGAATTTTGGTGTTGTATGAGAAGGGCACAGGGCTCAGGGTGGGCAGACAGTGGACCTCTGGGCTTGGTACTTGCCGCCCGCCAGCCCGGTCCTTAGGCACAGCCTCCACACTGAGCCCCAGGAGCCGGGCCAGGGCCCTCCCAGAGGTGGCAGCTCCCGCCCACACCCACGACAAGGGCTCAGAGGACTCCAGTGCTGGTGGGGAAGCTCAAGTGCCACTCTCAGAGGAAACTGCCCCCAGGTGCCACGGGGTGGGGCACCAGCAGGGACTGGCAGTGTTTGGCCCTTATCCTGGCTCCCATCTCGGGATGGCTTCACAAGCTGGGGTTCCCTCCACCTCCTGGGCCACATCTAGAACACTCCTGAAAGAGGAAGGTGGGGGGAAGCGCACCCCCCCTTCCATTCCAGATGCAGGAGTTCCCCGGCGGGGCAGGCCAAAGCGCAGGAGCTCTGTCTAGAGGGCCTGGTCTTCCCCACAGCTCCAGTCCACGGACACATGCTGTGTCCCACGTTCTGGCGCCTCCTACAGGACGTGCTCGGGACAGTGCGGCCGTGGTTTCTCAGAAAAGTAAATTAAGGGATGTTTACCAAAAACATCGGCTACCGGATTACTGTACCAGCTGCTCTTTGTCAGGAGGTCATTGTCCCACCTCTTGTTCAACAGCTGCCTGTAGGCTGGGTGGTAAATGGAGGGCAGATTCAATTCTCTTAACTCTGCATGGAAACAGTTACCCGCTGCTGCAGCTAACGCTCTGGCCGCTGCCTGTGTCCCGGCTCCAGAGCCGCCCGTTCCTGCAGATTTGGTTTAAACTCGTGGATGTTTTCATGCAGCGTGTGGGGCCTGGAAGTGGAGTTCTCCACTCAGAGAGGACGTGGGTCAGAGCCCTCGGAGGGGGGCCACAGAGCCCGGCCCAGGAACCGGGGGCCAGTGTTACAGCTCTGAAGAAGGGGGTCTGGAAGTGGAACAGGAATGGGACAGGATGTTAGAGTAGAAATCATTTGTGATTAGATGGAAAAGTTACATTTTTAAGGGAGAGATATCAAAATGTTTCCTTGAAGCTTTGCTCCCCATTCTGATCACCAGGAAGAGGCTGGCAGCCTCGACTTCTCTGAATCGTGGAATGTTGACAGGACTGGGGAGATCCTACAGAAAAGGATGGTCCGGGGAAGGCACTTGTGCAGGGCCCGGAGCAGCCGAGGAGCCCCGGGGATCCCCAGGTTCCTGGTCCCTGCAGCAGGTCTGCTGCTGTTCTCCGGCAGGGTGGGGGGAACTGCCGACGCCCTTCCGTGGCTGATTCCCGGCTACATTTTTGGTCTTAGTGCCCGCTCTGCTGGGCCTGTTGTCTGAGGACAGCAGCGTGCATGGCCCCAGGGAAGGGTCTGCCCGCCGGAACTCAGGGGTGCTCCCTCCAAGTCCTTCAGCATGTTGCTCTGCACTGTGCTGCTCCCCTCTACAGCTACACCTGTGCGTCCTGGGGGTGGCACCTTGGTGGCAGGCAGATCGTACCCTGCTCAGTGCCCAGGGGCTGTCATCCAATCATCCCTCCAAGTCCCCTGACGCCCGGTCTCTTGCCATCTGAGTCAGGCTGTCAGGACAAGTAAAGAGCAGTTTCTCCCCTAAGAGCAGTAAGGGGGTCCTTTGTGGACAGTCCTGCCTCCGGGGCAGTCTGCAGTGGGGAGCGAATTCCTGCATCTTCTCTCCTTCCTCACAAGCCATCCTGGCCACCCATGTGGTGGCTTGCCCGCCTCCATCTTCTCTGTTCCCAGAGGGCTTCACACCAGGCGGCCGTAGACAGGCTGTGTGTGGCTCCCTCCCTCCAGAGGGCTCAGCGCCCTGGTGTCTTCTCTCTGGGCTCTCCCGGGAGGCCGGTCTGAGGCAGGCAGGGCGGGAGGGAGTGCCGCTCATGGGCCATGGTTCACCTCTTTCTGAGCCTGCCTGGCCCGGCCCCACCCGGCGTCGTCTCTGTGCAGTTTTTGTTTCTTCTCACACACCTGCTCCTCTACTGATTGCCCTCAGTTCACGTCACCCAGGCGTCACCATGCCACCAGTCTGAGTCACAGAGCCCCCTTGTCTCGCCCCCACACCCAGCCTCCCACTGAGTCCTGCCACTTCTGCCTCCACACTCAGCTCTCACTTCTCACCTAGCTCGACTCCACCGCCTTGTAACTGGTGTCCCCGCCCAGCTGCCTCCCTCCCTCAGCTCCCTGTGCGCAGGCGTCACTCCTGGAACCTGCCCGCGGGGTCTGCGGGCCTCCCCCCCACCGGACTGCCCACAGCACCTACCAACAGACACTTCTGAAATGAGTGACAAAGAGCAGTCTTTGGAATTAGCCAAACCTGAGTTTATACCCGCCTGCACTCCTTTGAGGCCTCAGTTTCCTCACCTGTAGGATGGGCACACACACGCCACCCCTGCAGAGGATGAGAAGAAGCGGGAGCAGAGGGGGCTTCCGAGAACAGCTTGCACTCACCCCGCCCCAGACTTCAGCTGTGGGCACAAACCCCAGATCCTGGCCCCAGAGGACACGAGGCCCCTGCAGGGGCGGGAGGGGCTGGGCAGGGCCCGGCCGTGTGCTCAGCCGCCTGGTCACTTGTTCTCATCCCCTTTGGGATGGCTATTCTTCACATCAGCCTTTCCCTGTTGATTTCTCCTGAGGAACCATCCTAAAAATAGGTTTGACCTTTATACTTTTTTAAAATTAGAAACGGAGCCTTCCTTGTTTGTTTAGAGACCTGCTGATGAGGTTTTACTGACATGAAGGCTACATTTTAGGAAACA